TAGGTCTCGAGAATCCCGAAAATCTCTAAAATCCCAAAATAGTTCCCAGATTGAGTCTCTGGTCTCTATTTCGTTTCCTCTTTAATTACCTCTATTTTAATCTTTCTTCCCCTATCTTCATCTTTGCTTTTATCTGTATCCTCATCCTCCTCTTTGTCTTTACTTTTATGTTCATCATTTTATTCAGCAACATATTCCCCTTCACATTTGCCCTTATATATATAAGTAAAGTGTTTAAATTTACCTTGGTCTTCATTTTTGTCTTTATCTGTACGCATCTTTGTTTTTGTTTTTATTTTTACCTTTGCCTTTATCCTTTTCTTCATTTTATACGTAGTCACCTTTACTTTCACTCTTGTATTGGTCTTTTTCTAATTGGTATTATTTAACCTTTTGTTAGCAAATTTTTGTTAAATTAATACCATATGCATACACACAAGAAGCACTTGTTTCAGCCCCAACCATTTCCGCTGCACCATTTCCGTCGCACCATTTCCGTTGCATCACTTCAGTTGCATCATTTCCGTTGCAACATTTCCGTGTGCAATTTCCGCTGAATTTGCCAATTTACTCCCAACCAACCAACCGCCGCTAAAGAAGTTTCATTTCAAAAATTGCCTCTCTGCGCATATCGTCTCAGGGCGATATTTTGCCACACGAAAAAGCCACAAAACTTGATTTGTCACAGCGGCCAATTTTAGCGAAATTTTCATTTAAACTCGCTATACCACAGACGTTTATGACTCGATTGATTTGAAATTTGTGCACAATAAACTAGATTATATTCTGAAGAAGATGAGTCTAACTGCACTTCATAATACTTATTTAAAACGAAATGGCGGATATTGTAACATTTTTATAAAAATTAAGGGGGTGGTTTTTACAAATGAAAAAGTTGTGTTATGAAGTTTAAAATTTTTGTTTTGTTTTAATGCAGCATTAAAGACAAATATATACGGACATTTTCGGGAAAGGTTCAGATTTAGACAACAAGTAGTTCTAAAGTTATAACACTATTATGGTGACACCCACAAGCGGGTGCTCGCCTCTAGATGACAAATATTTTTACATAGCACTTGTACAAGTAATTTTGGAAGTAATATTAAGTGAACTGTTGAAATTCATAAATTTATCAGTGTAATATAACTTATTAAAGCTCTACATACCTACATATGTATGCATATACATATATAATTACACACATAGTCAAAGTGGTTATTCGTACAGTGATTGTTTTACAATATTCGCAACGTTTTTAATTTTTCACGAAAATACTGTTCATATTTCAACAAAACCATATAAATGAAATTTTCAAACTTTTGGCTAAACTTTAAAAAAATTATACAAATTTTCATCAAAATTTTGAATGACAGTTTTTAGAAAAAATTTAGTACGCAAAGTTGTAGCTCATTAAATCTCAGCTAATAAATCGGAAGCTTCAAGTCGCTTTAGACTACCTTTGATTTTTTAGAATTGGTTTTTCAAGGTTGTCTCATATCTGCTCCCATGAGCAAAATGTAGTTTTGCATGGAAGAAAACGTTCAACACCATTGAGAAAAAGAAAATCTAAAAAATCAACACAATTTTTCTCTAAAAATTGTCAATCAAAATTTTGGAATATAGATCAAAATTTGTAGAATTTTTTAAGTTTTGCAAAAAGTTTTAAAATTTAATTCGTATGGTTTTTGTTAAAATATCAAGTATATTTTCGTGAAAAACTACCGAATAATCATTATTCAAAACATTGCGAATATTGTGAAACAATCACTGTACGAATAACTATTTTGATTATATATGGAGTCACGTGCATATTTACTATGTATGTATGTATGAATGTATGTATGTATGTAAGTATGTCCATTAAGTTTAGTAATAGTTATATAACACTGATAAACTCATGCATTTCAACATTTCACTTAATATTACTTCCAAAATTACTTGTACAAGTGCCCAGTAAAAATATTTGTCATCTAAAGGCGAGCGACCGCTCGTGGGTGTCATCATAATATTGTTGTAAATTTAGAACTACTTGTTGTCTAAACCTGAAACTTTCCCGAAAATGTCCGTATATATTTGTCTTTAATGCTGCATTAAAACAAAACAAAAATTTTAAACTTCATAACACAACTTTTGCATTTGTAAAAACCACCTCCTTAATTTTTATAAAAATGTTAAAATATCCGTCATTTTGTTTAAATAAATATTAAGAAGTGCAGTTAGACTCATCTTCTTTAGAATAGTATCTAGTTTATTGTGTACAAATTGCAAATCAATCGATACACAAAGGTCTGAGATATAGCGAGTTTAAATGAAAATTTCGCAAAAATTTTCCGCAGTGAAAAATCCGATTTTGTGGCTTTTTCGACATAAAGACCTGAGTAAAAAATTTGGTAAAAATTAACTGTAAATGTATTTTTGAATAAGCTATCGATTACAATTGGTTTGAAATCGCTCCAGTTCATTTCAATTATGTTTTTTTACGCTGCTTGTTGTTTTCGCTGTTGTTGTCGCCCAATTTGCGAGAAAAGAATAACGGACCTGCGCATTGCGCAACCTTTTATATATGAACCTTGCGTTCGTGTGCATGTAGGCAGCGATACAGCAAAAGATCTGCAATGAAAATGTTCCCTTTGGCTCTGTACATATGTACATACACAATGTTGTTGCATATCTATACATTCATTCACAGTATCAATAACAGTGTGTCCAGATTGCTTAAAAAAACCGCAATTTTTGGAAAAAAATCGCCAATTTTTTTTTTGTTTACAAAATTTATAAAATCGATTTAGCAGATCTTATATTTAAAAAATGAGATCTTGTTATAATATAGTTTTTAATATAATAGTAATGTACAAAACATTTTCTTTAAAAATACGCATAATTTGTAAAATATTTCTTTCACCACATTTTGCAATAGGACTGCGTTAATAACTAAATTTATTATAACTCATATTAATTGATTAATCGCACAATCCGCTTTTAAAAGATCGGCGCTAAAAATTAAATAAAAACCTATAATAAAGCGAGATCTGCTATTTCCACAATTCCTTTAAAATCGCCTACATATACATATGTTGTTGCCATATATTGACCTATTCAACCTTGATAACATACCGTTTGATATTGGAAACGTTTTGCAGCAGAAACTATTAGCCTGCATATAACACTTTATTCGAACTATTGAATTAAGACTTTCCAACCTCATCCTATTTCGAATTTTAGTTTTTGTTGTATTCAATCCGGAAAAAACGCGCTCAACAAAGCATGTGAGTGCGGTAAGATAATAATATGAATTTACTTATACTAGTGTTCGCCCAGCGGTTGAAATTCAACCGCTACAATTAAGGATAGTTTATGTGAGTTGAGTTGAGCTGAAATAAAATTTGTTGGAATGGGTTAAGTGGAGGGGAGTTTAACTTAGTACTTAGCATAACATAACATAGAATAGCATTAGATTCAATAGCATAACATATGTAGCAAAACACATCACAATATAACATCGCACATTCTTCAGTTGTATTTCTTTTTTATCCCTATCACTTTCTTCCTCTCTATCTTTGTCTCTATCGCTTTTAATGTTTATGTTTATGTTAATGTTTATCTACACCTTCATGTTCATGTTCATGTTCATGTTCATGTTCATGTTCATGTTCAT